CCAATTTACAACCAATTTCGATTTAAAAATAAATGTAACTTGACAGAATTTAAGTTTTGAGAGTTTACATTTGAGAATAAATGTAAATATTCATGTAACAAAAAATTAAATTTAAAATAAATTTAAATTATGAGAATTTATATTTAACATAAATTTAAATTGTCATAATTTACATTTAAAAAAAAATATAAATTTTCATTCAACAAAAATTTATATTTAAAATAAATTTTAATTTTAAGAATTTACATTTACAATAAATGTAACTTTTCATAAAATACAGGGGAAAAATTTGAAAATAAACTTAAATTTAGAGAATTTCATTCAAAATTAATATAAATTTTCATCCAACGAAAATTTACATTTAAAACAAATTTAAATCCATAAGAATTTATTTTTCAATTTAATAATATTTTGTAAATGTAAATTGGCCACTGTGCCGAGATTGATGGCACGCTTCGATGATTCTCCTTCCTTCTCTTTCTATTCTCTTTCCGTTGTTCTAATATATCTCTCTCCTGTCTCTCTCCTATATATACGTGTGTTATGTATGAAGTTGTTACACTCTGGATATGTGAAGAAGCGAATAAACATCATTGCCGAGGGTGGCTGTAAGCTACTCCACCACTCATCCAGTTTGTCAATCGATATCGACCCTAGTCAGGTCCTTTATCGTTACAGACACCCCTAATATTTCATGATTTTTTCAGTCAAATATCGCTATCAAAATATGTGTATAGAGGCTTGTCGACGTAACGCAACAATTCAGTGACCAAGTTTTGAAAATTACTTTTTATCGGGTTGCACTGATCTAAACACATTGATAGGTACAGTTTTTCGTGTTGATTACGACTTCGACATTGTTCTTTATGAAAAGTTATATTTTGACATCGAAAACCAACTTTCTCTTTACTTTTCAAAAAATTTATGTTGAATTTTTTCAAGAAGAACTTTTTTTGAAAAACTGTTGAACGACGTTGTGCCGATATATACGTCACGGCTCGCTGCTCTTCTTGTTTCCTCTTTCCTCTTCTTCTCTCTCTCTCTCCCTCTCTCTCCCTCTCTCTATCTCTCGCTCCCTCCCTCTCCCCCCTCTCTCTCTCTTTTTTTATCTATCATATATAAGCATGTGTTGTGTATGAAGTAGACACATTCTGGAGATGTAAAGTAGCTAATAACCATCATTACCGAAGATGGTGGTAAGCTACTCCTCCAGTCTGTCATCCCATCTCTTCTTCCCTTTATCGTTACAGACATACCATTCAATGCAGAATTTAATTCTCTAAAAGTGGCCTGTCTATGTTTATTTTCGTCGTCAAGGCAACTTGCTCATTCTTCTACAGTTTCCCATTTAATGTACAGTTAATGACCTCTCGTTTTTATATAACAACTTGATTCTTGCATAGAACGATTAGATACACAGAAAAGATGAATAATTATGAAAATCAAATATTTTTGAGCAAATTAAATGTTTTAAAATTGATGGATGAAAAAGCTGTGTCACAGCGCTACGAAAAATATTATAGAATTACGTCTTAGTTTTGCTTTTCTTACATGGATAACCCTAGTTAGAGGAAAACGTTTTCACGTTTAAAAAGGTCATTCGATGTTCTACAATATTGGCTCTTGGGGCATTTCATTTGGAGATTGTCTTTCTCACAAAATTAGAACTCAACTAAGAGCACTCCAGCTTCACATTTTTTTCATATTCTAGCGTTACACGACCAACATTTCTTTCTACAAGCTCAAGACGTTTACCAAAAGACGCCGTTTTTAGGATAGAAATAAAACACGATAAACTACGTCGAATGAAGTATGAATGCACTTTCTGGCTCTTACAATTTCCGAGATAATTGAAAAAAGTGTGCTAAAACCGTCACAGCATTAAATTTGGAGAAGCCGATAGGCTCTAAAGATTCCCAATTGAATTTGTTACAAAATCGTATATGAATGTTTTCCCTAACGTCATACTTAATCAGACAAATACTGATTTTACCGCATTTAAGAGCGTGGAAATGTACTGTTTTTATGTTGGAAAAACGATTAGAAAAGGATTACTCTTATTTCTGAAAAGAATAATCTTACGAACATTATCGTCTTCAAATTCACTTTCTTTTTCATAAAAAGATTTTCTAAGATTTAAAAAAACAATGCACATTATAAAGCATAAAAATGAGTTTTTATATCAGTTTTTGTCTGACTGAGTAATGCAAAAGAAATGAGTAAGTAATAATGTGGTTCATTGATATTTTCAAATTTGAAACGAAAAACAACTGTACTATTGGCATCATTACCCAGTCAGACAAAAAACAAAAAAAAGCGCCTAAAAATGCTTCGAAATTTGAACGAAAAAAAAACGTAAAAACCGCACATATTTTGGATTTTATTTTCGTTAAGCCATAGTAGTGCGTTTTTTTGCGTTCAAAAGCTTAACGCGTTTTAACGCGTTAATGAACGTTCAGAAAAAGAATCCAAAAAAAATGAGGACTCCATGAATGTTTTCCGTTTACGTATACAATGTGCTTCACAACGTTTTTTTTTCGTAATTTATCTACCAGATTATAGTTGAAGCTTTTTTAACTTACTGCGCTGTCCTAGGTTCGATCATGAGATGTAGTGGTTGATAGTCCGAGATGTTATCCATGCGATCAGTGGTATGATAACAAGATGAAGTAAAAAATACTACTTAAATCGAACGAAATTTTATAGGAAACTACAGGTGATATAAAGTTAAGAGGAACAATTGTTATTACATTTTTAATTTTCATGAAAAAAAAAACAAATATTTTGCATTTAAAAAATTATTTTTCTGGAAATAAACATTATTTTTTAAATATTTTTTTTTCAATATTTAAATAAGTTAGGAAAAATTAGTTTTAGAAATATATTTCTTTAAAAAAGAATTTGAAAAACATTTAAAAACTTTTTTGTTGAATTAGTTCAAAATCTATCTCACATATTTTTTATTTTTTTAGAAATCTATAGCGTATATATTTCTAATACTTTTAAAAAATCGTTTATAAATTTTGAAAATCTTTATATGCACATGTGTTAAAAAGGCACATATTTATCTGGAGAGGGTTAGGGTGTGGGTCAGGGGTGTCATTTTCCTGTTAATTTAAAATAAATATAAATTCTCGGTAATTTATATTTAAAATAAATATATATCATTTTTTTTCACAATTTATATTTAAAAATAAATTAAATTTGGCATAATTTTAATTTACAATAAATTATCACAAGCTATATTTATTAAAAAAATAAATTATACAAAATTTAATTTATTTTAAATATAAATTATTTTCACTCAATTTATATTTAAATAAATATAAATTAGATTATAGATTAAAGTGAATTGTTCTATTTCGTCGTGATATTTCGTCAGGGTCATACAAAACAAGGAAAAAAACGCGTTGAAGTTTTCATGAACATAAGCTGGTAAAATATGCACATCTAAATATGTTCCAAACATGTTGAAATGCTCAAAAAATACACATTTGTTAGAAAATCTACTGCATAATGAATACATGAATATTTACGTTTTTACGAGTTACTTTTCGTTAAAACTTCAACGTGTTTTTTTCCCTGTTTTGTATGACCCGGACGAAATACAACAATTCACTTTAATTTATAATCTAATTTAAATCTTTTTAAATATAAATGGATTGAAAATAATTTATATTTAAAATAAATTAAATTTTGTATAATTTATATTTATAATAAATATAGCTTGTGATAATTTATATTTATAATAAATATAGCTTGTGATAATTTATATTTATAATAAATATAGCTTGTGATAATTTATATTTATTTTTAAATATAAATAATGAAAAAAATTTATTTATATTTATTTTAAATATAAATTACCGAGAATTTATATTTATTTTAAATTAACAGCAAAATGACACCCCTGGTCGTAAGAAAATCTAGTAAGAGATGTACATGCGAAAAAGCATGAAATCGTAAATACGCCGTTTTTACGAAATTTTAACGTGTTACAACATGAAAGCGTTAAAATATGTATGCGTGTAACGCGTTATAACACGTTAAGATTTCGTTAAAACGGTGTATTTACGTTGAGCTATCGTTAAAACGGCGTTTTAACGAAATTTTAACGTGTTATAACGCGTTTTGTAAAGACCTTTGTCTGACTGGGTACTTGAAACTTCATTATTACAAAAAAAAACTTATGAGCTATTTTGTAGTTTCAAACAAGTGCCATAATTTAGCTATCTAAACAATTCTCATTTTTAACCCTTCTATCCTTCCATTTCGTCTAGAATACAGTCTCTTCTATAAGCAATTTTCTAGAAAATTTCTATTTTGAATAAATTGTTTCGAATAGTAAAAAGTTTTGATAGAGGTTCATGAAATCTTCATTTTTTAGTTGATGTTTTCGCTCGTTGAATATAAAAACCAACGGCACGTCACAGCAAAACCTCACAATGAAAGCTCAACCATATAGTTGGATAAATTTTGTTAGATAGGCTAAATTTTGACTTCTTTCGTCCTAGTTTTGACAAGTCTGTGTGGGTATCGTAGTGATTAATTCGAATGAACTTCACTATCATTTGCAAGAAAAGCGTCACCTCACCCTACTCAATCACTCTATCTGATGCCTCTTTATATTTGTTTAATAGTTGAAAAAATATGAAAGTTTTGATAAGAAACATTCATTAACTTCCACATGTCGATGAATCAACCATAGTATTACTCAAACATTTTTTGCATTATGCAGTCAGACAAAATTGATATAAAAACGTCTTTTTATGCGTTATAATCTGTGCTTTTCACGTTTCCAATAAAAGTTTTAAATGAAGTGAATCTAAAGACGATAATGCTCGCAAACTTATTGTTCTTGAAGAAAATACACAATATTTCATAATTCTTCAAGTGTAACAAAATTAGTTTATATGCATGGTAATTATTTCCACATCAGATAGTGATGGTGGGTGTGGGTTTGGGGGACGAAAACATACAAGCCACACCCACACCCACATTCACCCACCCACCCACCCAATAGCACCTATAAAAGCATTAGCTTGATTTAACGTCGTTGGTTGTGGAATGGCTAAAATTTTGTCAATACGTTCTTGTAACAGTTTAATACCTTGATTACTAATTGTATGACCTAAATAATCAATGCTTGTTTTTGCTACTTCATATTTTTGTGGATTAAGTTGAAAATTATATTTGTTGAGAATGGCTAATACTTGATTTAAATGATCCAGGTGTTGTGCAAATGAATCAGAATAGATTAATATGTCATCCAAAAAAACTAAACAAAATTTTTTGCATGGTAATAATAAATTAGACATAATTCGTTGGAATGATGGTGGCCTGTTTTTTAAACTTTGGGCTAATACGTTAAATTCATATAGCTCATGAACAGTAATGAAAGCCGTCTTATGTTTATCTTCTTCACGGATAGGTATTTGAAAATACCCAGAACGAAGATCTAATTTTGTATAATATTGATGACCACCAACGATTTGTATAGCTTGTTCAAGATTAGGCAATGGATAATTATCTTGAATAGTTATATTATTTAATTTACGATAATCAAGAATAAATCGATATGAGCCATCATGTTTTTTAATTAATAGAACAGGTGCTGAGTATTGAGAATGTGATGCACGAATTTGTTTATGCTTTAACATTTGTTGAATAATATCAAAGGTTGCATTTTGTTTATCGATAGTTTGTGGATATGATCGGGTGGCGGTATGTTCGCCAATAAGACTTTCGCCAATAAGACTTTCGCCAATAAGACATTCGCCAATGGCGAAGTTCCACCGAATGTGTTGGCGAAAGTACAGTGGACGTTCGCCAATTGGCGAAGTTCCACCGAATGTGTTGGCGAAAGTGAGATGGGGTATCTCAGTAATTACACAACAATATTACGAAAGGGTATATGCCAGCCCTGAAGTTAATGTTACTAGAGTATATATATCATAGTTTACACTTATCGATGAAGGTGAGAAAACGTTTTTTAGTCTACGTCGATTTTACAATGACATTGTTGAAAGATCACTGTATTTTCGCCAATTGGCGAAATTCTACTGAAGGTATTGGCGAAAGTACAGTGCACTTTCGCCAATTGGCGACGCTCCACCGAATGTATTGGTGAAAGTACAGTGGACTTTCGCCAATGGCGAAAGTCATATTGGCGAAATTTCGGAACCCCATATGATCGAGATGTTGTTGGTGGATTATCACCAGTACAAATAACATGTGGTGTTGATGTTTCAGCAATGGTTGTTTTTGATGTATCAAATAATGAAGAATGTTTAATTAAAACAGCCTTTAATTCAGCTAACTGCTGTTGACATTTTATATGTGTACCTAAAGAGTTAAAATGTTGTTCGCCACTTGGACTTAATAAGATTGATTTATCATTATCGAATTTATCATTTGTATATGGATCCAAGGCAGTGGAAATATTATTAGATGATAAAGGTGTAACAATACCTATAATAAAATTTTTATTGAAATAACGAGGTTTAGGTGTTGGATTATAAACAGAAATAAAAGCTGTATGATTTTTTATAGAAACTAACGAATGTGGTATAATTAAACCTAGTATGTGAGTAATATAATAAGCAGGAGAAAATAATAATTACCTAAAAGACACTTTTGAAATAATTTTTAATTGTTTTTCTTCATATGGATGTAAATATTCAGATTTTTCCGTACGACAAATAATTCGAATTTTTTCCGATTGATCTTTCATCGGTATTGTAATTTTTTGTGAGGCTGTATAAACTTGAACTTGTTTTCGTTTATTATTAATATTAACCTTATATTTAGTAATATAATCCATACCTAGAATACAATTGATACATAAAGAGTTAACAACACCAACTATTATGTTAGTTTTTATATAATTTAATTCAATAAAAATTCTTACTGTACCAATAACTTCAAATGTTGTACAACCATCTGCCATGATATAATGTTGTTTATTAAAATGAATTGGTAAATGTTGAGTACGTTTTAATGCTATTTGATTAATGAAAGATTTTGTTGATCCAGAATCAAATATAATTTTCATATAAGTTTGATTGATTTTTGCATTAATAAAAATTGGTGATGGATTTTGTATAGAGTTTCAGGAATCGCCACCACCATGCGGCGATTCCTCTATTGAAAATGTGGATAATTATGAATATAATCATCATTTGCACCACAGTTATAACATTGATATGGTGGTTTTGGTATTTTATTATCATATGAAACTCGAGTTGTTGTTGCATTGTTGGGTATTCGTTTCGAATTGACGTTGTTATAACTTGATTTGTAATGAGCATTATTATAATTTGGTTTCCGAGGTATAAATGATTGATAAATTTGCTGCGGTTCATTATTTGTATTGACTAGGTTAACTGTTGATGAAATGATAGACTTTTGTTTATCGAAACATGCTAGTGCATCTTGTTTGTCTTCCAGCGATCTCAATTCTTCAATCTTTTGTGCATAGTCTAAAAATTCTAATGTAGTTTGTGGATTTTTTAATGATACATCAAAACGTAATGAAGGCTTTAGACCATCCTTCAAAAATTGTAGTTTACTGGCATCATCCATTAATGGATTTGCTTCTTTACATAATTTCATGATATCAAAATAATATTATCTTAAATCTTGATTTATGCTTTGTTCATAATGACGTAAACGATTAAAAGAAATATCAGCTTTTCCTGAAGATTCTAATGTTTTTAATAAATTTTGTGTGAATGTGGCCCACGTTGGACATAAATGAGGATTATCATGAAACCAATCTCGTGCGGTTAACCCTACTTTGGTCGAAAAGAAAAATATCGAGAGGTAAAAGTGTCGAAAGCAAAAAAAGTCGAAAGCATAAAATGAGGGTGAGGAGTGGGGCATGCGAGTGAGGGTGAGGGTGTGAGAGATTTCCCTTTCCATAAACTTTCATTCTCAACATTTCTACCTTTCGGCATTTGTACCATTGTCGTTGTCGATGTTTTTATTTTCGACATTTTTACCTTTCGACATTCTTCTTTCCGACCAAAGTAGGGTGAATCTCTCGTGCATCGCCTTCTAAACATAAAGACACATAAAAAAGTTTTTCATCATCCGTTAATTTAAACGTATTCATTGTTTGTTGAATTTCTCTTTGCCATTTAGATACATTTTGTTGTAATTTGCCAGAATATTTTTGTAATTTTGCAAGGTTCGTAATTAACAATTGATTTCGTAAACAATTCATAACAGTATCTTCACAACTAGCATCTTCTACTTGCTTCGATGTCATAGCTGATGAAATAATCTGTCTTGATAAATCTGTCTTTAACTCTTGAGTATCAAAATATTGTAAAAATTTCTTCATAAACGTAATGAAGGTTGGTATATAATCCTGTTGTTCAGCATACCAAATAAGTGCTTCACCAGTCAGAATTTCTGAAATTAATTCATTACGTTCAAGAGACGTAAGTTGTAATAAATCAAATTTTTCTATAATATGTTTTAACCAAATTTTTGAATTACCATGTCCATCAAAGTTTTGTATTGAATTTAATTGTTGTTGTACTAAAAATTGTTGTTTAGTATCAGTTTTCACTGATCGCTGATCATCCAAATCATGACCTAGCGTATATGTTGTTGATTCCATAAGAGTTTTTACATTTTTATTAAGATCAAGTGTTGTAAATGTAGAATCAATATTAGTTTGTTCAGAATTTGACATTATTAATAATGGTTGTTTTTCTTTTTTAGATGGCAATGATAAAGAATCAATAGTTATTTGTGTAAAATCGATTGTAGATCGAGTTGGTTTAATATTCATGAATGTTGTTTTTAGGGGGATATTTTCTTGCCTGCCACGCGGAATTTTTATTTTCTTTTGAAGAAATATCGGCTAGTGCACCATTGTTAGGTTCCGTTCCTTTTTTATTTCTTCAAAAATCTGACTTTTCAACCTATTCAGTAAACAAAAACAACAACCTGTGCGAAGATAGAAAAAAAAAGGAAAAACATGAAAAAGGAATAAGAAGGAAGATCGATCATCTATCTATATAGATGTTGGATCCTAACATGTGTACATATATATGTTATTTTTTTCTTTCTTTTCATTTCTGCTTGTTGAACGGTTTCGCTTTGAAGGAAAACCATTTCTATTGAAAGAAAAACGATTCCATTCTCAGTTCTTAAAATTTGTCAAGCTAACAGATAATTTATTGAGATATATTAATAAAGATGAGCAAATATATAAATTTATTGAATTTTTTAATTTTTTTTATAATATTTATTATTGTTTTTAATTATTAATAGTAAACAAAAAAGAAAAGCAAACAAAAAGAAGAAAAATAGAAGAAAATAATAGAGATAGAGATAATAAGAAAAAAATTCAAGAAAGAAAAGAAATAATAATGGGACAATAAGTTTATTTTAACGCTAGGCCTTTCGAATTTATTCGTTATCAAGCGAGTAAATGTAGAATGTTCTACATTCGAGAAAAACATT